TCGTGTGAAGTTTGGAGAAAGCCTGAATTAAAATGTTAATTACGAAAAATAATAAATATGTAAATACGGTTTTATGGATAAGCTCAATAACTGGGATAACACAAAATAAAAATAAGAACAGAAGACAAGTAAGAAATTTACTTTTAATTTAAATTAAATTATTATTAATGCAATATTTATTTGAGAAATAAACATACACTATGAAAAGACTGCAACTTACTTGACACCGTGTACTGACGTCTGCAAAGTATCCACCACGACCTTTGGCGCAAGCAAAATTTGTCTTTGGCGGCCAATTGTAGATAGGATAATCCTTACCAGGTTCACCTGGGATAGAACCAGTTTCCTCTGAAAGAATGTACAATTTCAATGTAATTATACTGAGTGTTTAGTAACGAGAGTCGAACTGGTAGTACAGCTGAATTTCCCTAATTCCATTATGCAGTGTCTTCATATGAATGCTGACTAAGCTGATAAATACGAGTAAGTTCTTCATTAAAACAGGACCCCGAGGATTACAAGAACCAATAATTAAAATTAATCTCAAGAAAGTTGAATCAGATCCATTATATCCGACCCCACTTTCTAGTATCCATACACACATCACGAATAAGGTTTTCAATCTCTCTGCTGAATGGAACTTCCCTTCAACAAGCCATCGTAAGGGATTATTACGTAGAATTTGGGTGACACTGAGAAGGCTTCAATAATCAAATTTAAATATCTGATCAATTTTTCAGTTACTTCAGCAGCAACACACACATTACTTCCTTATATATTCTTCTTCTTTTTCCGGTTTAACATTGTACATTTTCCGGTACCCTTTACGGGTCACCAACCTTTTCGTTGGCTTTGATCTGTTAAGACATTCGGTAGAACTCCTTGGATGAGGGATCGGCTCATCGTAAGGCCTCTACCTGTACACAGGACAACAGAACACAGAAAAACATTCCATGGCTTGAGTGGGATTCGAACCGACGGTCCCAGTGACCACGCGGCCGCTGTGACGGCGGAATGGTTTATGGCATGCAGACTTACTGGATAATACAAGTTCACACAACAGGCTTCTTCACTCTTAAGTAGAGAACCTAAAGAAGGCCCAAATGCGCTGAAAGATACAGCGTAGATAAAATAAAATAAAAATTATGCAGACAAAACTATAGTGGGTCATTCCGAAACACAATTCGCTTTGTCATAAACCTGTCATTTTACAGAGTTACACAACTAACAATTCACATTAAAATTATCATATTCAGAACTAAATACCTTATGTCGTTCCCAGAATTGGATCAACCCAGGGAAGCACGCGAAGACAAGTTATCTAAGTTCTACAGAAATGCATGAAAGTCTATTATATTAAAACGGACCTCAAACGAGCAGTAAGGTCTATGTGCTACGTCCAACTGGCTTATTGTATGCTCCGATGGTGACACTAGTGAATACGATAATGGATATTATAGTTGCATAACAGGCGGGAATTTTGTTGAATAACTACGAGATTTTTTTTTTTTAGTGTTCTGTCTGACGACAGGTCTATATGAACAGGATCCTTCCATCCTTTTCTCGGACTGGGACCTGTTCATATACGTTCTTGGCAGATGATCCAGAAGTGGTTTGCCATTGCCTTCTTCTGTGTGTGAATGGGATGCCACGGAGAAACCGGGGAAGCCCCCGGAGGAAAACTCCGTGTTGCCAAGACCACGGCCTTGCCCAACACAAGTTATAAATTCGGGCACCGCCGGAAATCGAACCCGAGACCCCCCAGGATTACAAGGCCAGCGTTCTAACCGCTAGACCACCGTGGCTATGGCGGAATGGTACTATAAGAGAAAGTTTCCCTGGCGTATAACCAAGCAATCAGCATCATTTTCCTCTTATAGAGGAAGTGTGAAATTAGGCCTCATGACAAACATATTACGTATTTCATAACAAGGAACGATGTCACTGAAGGTTTTCTGTGTCTTTATACGAAGTTATAACACAAATTCTCTTCCCATTACGACAGATTTTTATGACTTCCTGCAATTAAAATTTCATATACACGTACGTAGACCTAAATAGTCCTTGTTCATAAGAATTAACGAGGACCTCAGCACCGAGAACTATACGTTTTCAAAACAACAATAAATATGAACAATAACAGGAAAATTGTTAGTTATTAGGCTCTTCAAAGCGACGTAACACTAAAAATAAATTATAAAGACGCAACCAGATCTTTCTGATACGCAGTGCTAGGACGTCGGACGACCGCCATATTTCTTTAGTGAACTCTGTTCCAGATTACACATCAAATCATGTAAATGTTCAGGAGTACAATATGACAAATTATTTGTATTAATATTCGGTCACTCAAAACTTCCACATTAAACACTGGTTTTCATCAGTCTACGACGAACTGACAAGAATAATTAAAATGTAGATGTCTTCTGAGATGTTGCGTCCTGATGATGGAGGCGGCAAGTACCTCTGAAAAGTCGGCAAATTTCTATATCTTTGTGTTCTTTCCAAACTTTGACAACAACTGTTATGGGTTTATAAACACGCATGAAAATAAAATGTCGCGAAAACATCGGTTAATAAACACCACATTAACTGAATGGGGGTTTTTTTTGGTCAAGAATTTAGAGTGACTCCTCAAAGTCCCTTATGTATTCGTAATAAATTCTGAACTAGTTCACCCCCGAGTTCAAAGAAACTCTAAGAAAGTGGAATCCTTTGCTCGTCAACCGACGTCCTTTCTACGTAAGACAAAAATAAATTTCACTTAAATTCTACTTAAGACAAAAGAATACAAAAAAAATTAAATCTGTCCCACTACACGCCATGTAGACGCTTGGGAGGGGAGACGAGGATAGCTCCTATTCATTCTTAACCTCGGCACTAGATGGGATGAGTGGTCAGCGTCACGCCCCGGCTGGCTTTACCCCCGGGAAAGGACCCCGGTACCCACTGGATAAGAGACTGGGTGGGCCCCAGAGCCGGCCTGGAGGAAAAGTCACCTGTGCCTGCCGGGGATCGAACCCCGGTCGTCCTGTCCGTAGTCAGCCACTATATTGACTGAGCTATCCCGGCTCCCAAGGGCAATATGTCCTAATTAAAATATAAATCAGGCACAGAACATCTCTCTACTGTGTGTACTCACTAGTAGTTTCCAGAATCCTGAACGGCTTCCTGGCCAATTGTCTTCTCTTATAATAAGCTGTTTCAGCAACTGTCAGCTGTACCTCGTTGTACTTATCCTCCTGATGTATGTGATTGTTTATTGGTGGTTGAACAGATTTTCGTCTTAAGTTCTTCCGGTCGCCAGCCTTGGTGGACAGATTGTAATCCTTGTCTCCCCCAGAATCATTCTGCTCAGTTTTCAATGTTAATGACGGATAATCGTTCTTGGTAGTTCTGGCGACTGGATCGGCAGACTGTCGATGGCTTGATCCACTGTTAGACTCTCGTTTAACATCGCCAGAACCACTCAACGTTTCATTTTGATAACTGTTATAGGTAGAATTATATCTCACGAACATTTTTTCGTGAGACAATGTCAGTAATGGAGGAACAATGTCAGTAGACAGAGGAGAATTGTCAGCAGACTGTCGGGAATTGTCAACTGAATGAAAAGATCGATGCGAGACCGTTGTAAGTCCTGAAGAGCCCTCAAGATGGGATCGGTTCTTTGCTGACCGGAAGGAAGCTTGTGGTAAACTGCGACTCGTATACTGTCGAGGTACAGCGAAGTGGGCAAGATAAATTTCATTGAACTCAGTGGTTTGTGAGGTATCAGATGAAGGGGTGGTGACATCAGCACGTGGGCGAGATACAGCCTTGTATATTCGAGGTATATCGATATGGACATGCGATATATCGGTATCCGTATTAATGTCGTAAGACCCCCGAGACGTATCTACAGATATAAGAGAAATGTCCTTATTGTTTGGACTGATTTTACTGTAAACTCGAAGAGGAAAGGCGAAAGGTTCAGTGGACGGAACGGATAAAACAGGACGAGTGAGATTGTAAGTCGATGGCTGATTTCTTACGGGTAAAGAACTTATATTTTGTGGTTCGAGATCAGACGCCTCTGTAAAAGTTAGAGTATTCTGGGTGAGACTGGAATTTCTGAAGGTAGAGGCTGGGGGTGGTAAAATATCTCTCGAAGGAGTCATTAATATTTCATGGTATTTAGAATTGTTAAACTCAGGTGTTGAAGGTCTCGACAAGTCTGAGTTTCTCTGACCAAATTTGCGGACGATTAATATCGGCTCAGAAGTTTCAACCCTTTGATGGTAAAGTCGCTCTCCCCGATTCAAATTCTCCTTCCTTCGAAGTTGTTCTTTCTGCCGGCGTTCAAGTCCAACCTCTGGGTCGCTTGGAACAACTTCTATTTCCGAATCGTTATTAAATTTTCTTTGGTTCAGTGGCTGCTTGTGAAGACTGTTTGTGTTTTGTTCGTAGTTCTGAACTTCATCGTTTTCTTCAAACGTCTGCTGTGGTACCAATATTTTCCTTCGCTCTTCCTGTAACTCCAAAGCAGAAGAATCTTTAGACAATGATGGCCTTGTGTTGTATGCTGGAAGGACGTATAATTTTTGCATGAAGTCCATGAAGGAGTTCGTATTCATTTTGTCATCCTGTTCAACAACCATGTTCAAAACAGGAACCTCTTCTTTTGAATCTGACTGTGATAATATATGCATTTGTACAAATTTCGATTTTGGAAGTACGTGGTTGGAAGATTCCAAGCTTTCCTTTCCTAATCGTTCCCTCTCTTCCTGTCTGAGGTACCGAATGAAGCTCTCAGGATCACGTATGGCCACACCGAAAGATCGAATTGAATCAGAAAAATTTTCATTTGGTCGACTCCTTAGGTCGTTGTTGTTCTCGACTGGGTACATGATCCACACGCGCTCTATATGAGGGCGTCTGTACTTCCGTCTAAGACGTCTCCTAGCGTCTACTTCAGACAGTGCAGCCTCATTTTCTACAGCTGCTGATAAAGTCGCCCAAAGCCACCCTGGAATGAGAATAATTTACTTCATCAGTTTCCAGGTTCTTAATTGAGTTTACTAAGTACTCAAAATTGAGTGTAAATCAGGAGCGAGGTAAAACTTTCTACAAATTTCGGACATCTTTACGTTAACAGCGATTGTCAATCAAAAACAAAATCGGAACTGATCTTTTAAATTATGTTAAACTGTGATTATATTCATTATATTGACGTAAGGTAGATAGTATTGTTAATATCCGTTTGTCTCTGACCCCCCTCTAATAATATCTCAACCAATTTATAAATCTTCATGAAACTTGGTTTACACATCTTGTCATGAGATGATAAAGTTGCGTCATATTGTGATAAATTTAATATTTGTTTAAATCTTGTCAGTCTAATCACAATAAAATTCCTATTAAATATTAAAATATTACCATAATTAACATTTAAATATTTAAAATATATTAAAATGATGTTCTCTATCGAAATGTTCTAATGTAAATCGAACATTTCGATAGAGAACATCATTTTAATATATTTTAAATATTTAAATGTTAATTATAGTAATATTTTAATATTTAATAGGAATTTTATTGTGATTAGACTGACAAGATTTAAACAAATATACATCTTGTCATTTAAATTTCACGAGCTACCACCGTCATATTTCCTTGCGGGTAATATAACTTCTGGAAATGTCCGAGACTCTTAATGGAACCGTAATATTACGCGCCCCGTCATCTACACGGACCAAGTAACACAAGAGGTCACGCCTGGGGTGATGGTAAGAATGCAGATCTGCTTGCGTTCGTTTGCATAGGACAACGAGTCATCATCGTTTATGCTGGCAGTGAAAACTGCTTTAATACAAATGCCTTCTTTATATTTAAATACTGAACATCTAGAGATTATCGTCACTAAATTAATCTTGATAACTTTGAAAGATGCTCAACACTAGATTTTTCTTAAACTTCCGTCAAATTCGGGGCAACGCTGTACTTTGAAAGTGACATTTTCGTCTTCTATTCTTCAAGGCCATTCACAAGTATCAAAATTCAAAGGCATTTTAAATATCTTGAGGAATTACTAATGTAATCTAACCTTGTAATTATCTGCGTTGTTTCTTATAAAACCAGGATACCTAAAACTCAGGACCCAGTCTCCAAGCAATTCATCGAAGCGTCCAGATTCCCCCAGCCGTCACCCTGAGTCTCAAAAGAATCGAAACCCACAATTTATTCGTAGCAAAAATTGAACTAACCCAAAATCAAGCTTCGACCCCAAGGACCTCAGGCCACCAGATCGTAGAGAGGGTATCAGGATTAAATGTTCAAATGTGTGAAACGATTGAGACAAAGTTGGAATTACTACGTCGATTTCACTAATGAAGTTGAAATCAACTGAGCACTTCCTGTCTGGGGCGGCGAAATGAAAGTTACTTTCAATTCTTTTATTGAAATCAATTATCTTTGCTAAATCACAGGTAATATGAGTCGTACGTAAGCCATAACATTTGAACTTGTGTCCGTGTATTCAAATACCGGAGAATTAATAATAATGCCAGCTGATCGACTATCTTGTTCGTAATCTAGCAGAAGTCCAGGTGGTACCCCGGGTTACTTACATGATAATGTGAGAACGATAACAGGTTTCATGTCTGCACTGTAGGAGATCACACTTGCAACTGTGAATCCTCCTTAGGAACTCCTTCTGCTTAATAGATTATCTGCCATCATCCGCACCAACCAAAGTGAAAACTGGGTTAAGGACTTCCTACTGTAATGTTGGGTCTGACTTGAGAATTCTCATTCTGTTGGAACGGAGCGTTTGCGTCTTACCAAATCTGTGCGTCAATATAAGACAGTCATCGATCAGAAAAAATTAAGGAATATTCACAAAGTCTTTGTACAATGAGCAGTAATATCAGGGAATAAGACATGCAGGTGTTAATACGTAAAAACAATTACTAATAAAAGAATGCGTGCATGTACCATGGAATCTGAGCTGCTTTCACACTGAATTTACAAGGTCTTATTGCGTTCACGGAAGGACTGTGGCAATCTTACGAATAAGTTCCTAATATTTCCCACTCATCTATCCACAGACAAAAATAAATAAAAAAAAATTTACAATGAAGTTTATTCACAGAGAAATTTCACGAATCAAACAATAAATTCAAAGTAGTCACAAAGATAAATATAAAATCATTTCTTAAATACGTTACTTTATTCTACTCCGAAGATCAAATTGTATTTCTTTTAAAATGGAAGGAGTACAGAAAAACACTTTTAAATCTACAAAATCTTTGTGCACAGTTTAATATTAAGATATGGTAAATTTTATCAAAAGTAAAGATTGAAATTAAAATATCAAATTCCTTGCAAAATAATTCAATTTATTTTTAGTAAAACATTGTATTTCATAACAAATGTAGTGTATTATTTGCGAAACTTAGTTGTTATATCATCCGTGTATCCTCTATGGTAGTTGTATTCAACCTGGGGTATACGTACCCCCGGTGGTAAGCGAAGATATCTTAGGGGGTATGTGAAATTTAAAAAAAAATGTTTTTTGATAAACACTGAATAATCAGTAATGTAATTTATTTTAGGTGTAGATTAAATACTATTTATAACTTGAATTATACACCAAAACTTTTGGGGTACAAAGTTGAAGAGAAATTATATCTGGGGGTACGCGAAGACATCTTAGGGGGTACGTGAAATTTAAAAAAAATATTATTTTATGATAAACACTGAATAATCAGTAATGTAATTTATTTAATTTATTTTAGATGTCAATTATATACTATGTATAACTTGAATTACACACCAACAACTTTGGGGGTACAAAGTTGAAGAGAAATTATATCTGGGGGTACGCGAACAAAAAAGGTTAAATACCACTGCTCTATGGCATCTGGCGAGAGAAGTACAATGTGTTTGAATTTCCCACTGGCGTATGAATGCGGGAAGTACATTGAAAATAGAATATAGTAACTTAATGATGACGTAATGATTACGTCAATAAATAACACTAAGCCTTCGAGGAGCTTGCAGCCACCACCGTGAAGTAAGCAGAAACTGATTTGAAAACATTTTTTTTGTGATCTGTCCTTTATTTCAAACTGTTAACATGCATCACTTGGATCCGAAAAAAAATTTATTTATTTTAATTATGAAGCACTGAATATTTTTTTGCGTGTCTAAAATATTGAATTTTTACGGAAGGACTATCATAAACCAGATTTGTGTTGTTTTGTTACTTATGTCTCTTTTAGTAATGTTTAAACACCTTAAACTTTGTAAGGGACAAGTTAAAATTCATTAAGTGAAGCAGAAGGAAATTTTAGGTGAGAAATTGTCAGGCTGTCAGGTCCCTGTAGCAGTGAATATCAATTCGTACACAATGCCCCTGTACGCTTGCGTCTATAACAGCTGTTGCTGTCAGATCGTTTTTACAGTGGTTTCACTTCCATTGCGTGTAGATGGCAGCACATATGCCGTTGAAAATCATGTTCGTTGTCAAATTGATAATATTCCTCTTATGGATTAGGTTATTCTCCTGTTCCGGCCTCTAATTTCTACTTGGAGGCGTATCGGTAAGGAAAGAGTTAAATCTTGCCGCGTTACAAGCCCTGAGCAGAGTTGCGTTACCAACAATAATTGCCAATAATATTTTACAATTCTTAATGTTGGTTACCCTTGTGATGGTTTTCTCTGGTGTCTATTGTCTGCAGTTTCGGTGAGAGTCTTGTGTAGAATTCTATAATCTTTGGAAACTTCGAAAACCCGAAGTAGGAATAATATATCACGTATTTGAAAATTTCGTTTTATATATTATGTCGCAGGAACATGTCATGGATGTAACATTCAAAATCTTATGCAGGACACAAGAAGACTGAGAAGCAGAACAAGGATTTGTGATGAAAGAAGCAATGGGCATTGAATCTGTTACTACCTGGATCGCTGTTAAAAGATGCGATCAGTTGGGTAAGCTTTAAGAAAAACAGAATTAAGATAAGAGCGTAGTATTTGAGGTTTTCACAGCGGTGAGTCTGAAGATTGCTGTCTTCTGGGTTATTGCGCCGTGTAGTCTTGTAGATTTGGAAATCTTGTCACGTACTTTGTAGTTCATATTAATCCATGGAACGTTTGTCTTTCAGTTTGTGCAGTGGTATAATAAAACGACATTCATTTCGTTCTGAAGTAGACGAATTTTGTCGTACAATGCAGTTTATTGATTTCTGCAATGTGTCAAGAACTTGTATAACAAATTTGGTTTCTGCGTAGCACATCTTAAGGAAAAGTTGTGAAATTTCTTAGGTAAAGATGCATTTTGTGTCTGCTTACATTGAGTACCACATAATGTGTATCACTGTCCTAGACAACACACTTCAGTTCAACAGTATTCTGTTTTCTGTCAGCCAATTTTTTTCATTCTTGTAATGTAAATGACAAGTTAGAAAGTTTAGATACATTAGAGTAGTTACAGATGGGTTCAGGTGTACTAATTGTAAATGAAGCCCAAATACAGAAATTGTAAGTGGTCACCATATTGTAAAGTTATCCTCTCATATGTAGGACCATTTCCATTTAAGATATGACTATACATTATACTTCAGTGTATTGTCAGTTAAAGACATTGGAACTAATGATAGTCTGAAAATGCAAATCTTAGGTGTTCCTCCAAGAACACTTGAATCCTGATGAGGAATTTAAGCTGTGTAGCTTTTCTCAACTTTAAATATTAGCAGTGGATAAATGGTGATTTGACTTCTGCCAGTCTTCCATCATCTACCCCACTTTACCCACTGGTGTTTAAAATATGGTTTTGTAAAGTTACTGTGTGACAATGACAAAACATCCTTCGTGCTCTTCTGAAGAACTTCTAATTGCAATATAGACATGAACGGTGGGCAGGCAGTGCAAAAGCTTTTGGTTGGGAGGGGAAGGCATGTACATACCTCATCCTTTTGAAATATACTTGACTCATGTAAGACCATTATGACAGCATAGCATATTAACTACTGACAAAAGTTGGACTCAAAAGTTAAAGCAAGAAATATGCATTCTCATTAGTATATAATTTTTAATCAACGTGTGCAAGTGGACGTATCATATCTCTGAACCATTTTAATAAAACTTGGTGTGAACAGTGTGTAATTCAAGGCACCTTTGTGCATCTTATTTCATCAGTATCAGCAGGCAGATGTGAAAATCTGTGAGGTGGATGTGACATTAATGCCACTTTTATGCTTTAGAAATTTTGTATGGTGATATTTACATCTTTGAAAAAGATACCACTTAAGGTAATAAACCATGTAATATTTTGTTTGCATGTATAATCATATAAATTCTTACAAATATATAGTACTTTTCTAATAAGTTTAAGATTATGAAATGGCATTTGTGCAAAACTTTGAGGTTATATGAAACAGATTTTATAGTGTAGTAATGATGTAAAGAAGTTCATAAGTGAAATGTAAGATTTTTTCCTTGAAGTTTCTGATTATATAGGCATATGTTTTCAGAGAAATAATTTGAGTCAAGCTTACCATGTACCTGATGTGTCAACCACCATACATACAAGTTCATAAATATTTAATTTCTTTCTGCATGAGATCATCAGTGGCCCTATATTTGGTTAGCTTTTACATAATAAAATATACAGTCATAAAATTATGAAATTCCACAACTGTATCAGATTAAACATTAAAATATTGACTACATGTTTTTGAGTACATGCATTTATTGTTATTTTACTTACTGCTGAGTTGGTAGTGCCTTTTCTGCATTATCGTACAGTGGATTAGTGTCTGAATATTCTGTGTAACACAACTGTTAGTTGTCGATGCTGTGGTGGTCCCTTTCTTGTGTCACTTGTAATTGCTGAACTTGTTTGTAATGCTATTGTTATAGAAAACTACAAGATATGAAAGGTATTAAGATTATCTGTACTGAAGTAAACATTTATTTGAATATTGGTAAACAGGTTATGATAAAGGTAGAAAGTTGTTAAAATGGAAATCAAAGATGATGTGAAGGAGGGACTTGAATTTTCAGATTGTGGCTCACATGATGTATCACAGTCACCACCTCTGCCTATAGAACTGCAGAATGATTCCACCTTTGCCGATATCAAATGTCATGTTCGAGCACGGCTTGGACTTCCAGAGGATAGAGAAGTCGTCATGAAACTGCGGGGAAATGATGGAACATTACTGCCACTGTCATACCTGCTTACTGGCAGTTCAGAAACAGAGTAAGCTCAAATTATTTTATTTGTAGTGTTCTGTCTGACGACAGGTCCATATGAACAGGATCCTTCCATCCTTTTCTCGGACTGGGACCTGTTCATATACGTTCTTGGCAGATGATCCAGAAGTGATTTGCCATTGCCTTCTTCTGTGTGTATGGAGTATGGAGTAATTGTTGGGATGCCACGAAGGAAAACTCCGTGTTGCCTAGACCAAGGCCTTGCCCAACACAAGTTATAAATTCGGGCACCGCCGGGAATCGAATGTGTGTGAGTGGAGTAATTGTTGGGATGCCACGGAGAAACCGGGGAAGCCCCCGGAGGAAAACTCCGTGTTGCCTAGACCACGGCCTTGCCCAACACAAGTTATAAATTTGAGTACCACCGGGAATTGAACCCGGGACTCCAGGCTTACAAGGCTAGTGTTCTGACCGCTAGACCACCGTGGCTCAAATATAACTGTTTTCTTTGTGCATTCTGTGTGACAAAAATCATGTGCTTGAAATTTTCGGTCCCAAATCAGAAGTGATGTAAGCGTACGGCTGGTGTCATAATTGCAGTCATTTGTAATCTCGTGTTTGTGGCTTTTCTCTGCCTTCCATTAATTGCATTTACTTATACCAGATGTCTATTAAGCAAAGACACCAACGTGTCTGCCTAATTTGGAGAAACACGTTGCTGCTGTCCAAATACGTTAAGATTGAGGTATACAAAATTATAATTTTGTGTGTGTGTGTGTGTGTGAAACTTCATCTCTGACACTAAGGGAGGAGCCTATACTGTGGGTGTGCTCAGATGTGGTTTTACAGAAAAATATTCTTTTCTCTACACTGCAAACATCACGTACTTTTCTTATGGGAGACGTCTGTGCCGAAATTCGTTAGATATGTTACTAATGTGGGAACAGTAGGTGGAATGTGACATGCATCGTGGGAAACTTTTAAAAGAAGATTTGTGACAATGTATTGTAGGAATTTGACCACGAATAATTGAAATAGCAAATAACAAGTTTACAAATATGGAGGGATGACTGTTAGTGTTGTATTGTATATTATCAAAATACCAATTTTGAGTAAATCCTTGTTTTATTTTTCAGGCCATTCATATTAGATATTACAAGGATTCACCAAAACAGTAAGGATATTTAATTTTAGTAATTGGCAGTAATGTTATTTTATGTCCTATTATTGTGTTATTTCTCTGCTTTGTGTTGCTCACATTGATTTCCATGTGCACATTGTGTGTGTGAGTCTCTCTTTCTCTCTCACATCAAATGAGCATCGAAGTAGGAGTGTGCGCACTGACAGAAATTTAATTATGAATGACACAGTATTAGATGTGATTTATAGCCGACTTTGTGGACGGCTTGAAATATCGGTTTTGATCTCGGGCTTGCGTTTAATGAGCAGTGACACACTTTTATCTCTTAAATTATAAGAATGCATTTTATATTTGATATGCATTTTGTTACAAAAGCATTATTCTTCTTCTATGGCTCTCCGGTCCGTATTCGGTCCACGGCCTCCTCAATTATCCGCTTCCATTTGGTCCTCTGTTAGGTCCGTTTGTCCGAGGCTTTGATCGAGGTTTCGAAACATCTTCCTTTTTACGGTGCAAGGTTGTTAGCCTTGCGACCAACCCCCAACCTGGAGGACCAGGGTACCTGTCTTAGTCTGACCTCTCCCCCTCGACCAATCTGGCTAGGGAGGCCTTACCAGTAGCTCTTGGGGTCACTGAGGTACTCAAGCCCCACCACCACGACAAGGTGCAGGTACCATTAAGTGGGGTTATGAAAGCATGCTTGTGTATAGTAGCTTCTGGAAACTTAGAGTACAGGATTCACTATGATTATCACAATTCCATAATATCAGCTCTTTGAGCAAGTGTTATTGGTGGTGGGTCAGTTGCTAGAAAGGTGAAAAACGTTTTAACTATATAACATGGTAAAGGTATAGTTTAATGTACTATTTACGTAAGATGCATGAAAGGAAACATAATTGGTAGGTCATGTGCTGTCTATTTAACTGCATGTTTATTTACAAACAGTGAAATAAGGTTTTGGGCATCACCACTATACGTAAATCCAAATTTCATATAATTGTTCTGATATTTTCTCTTCTGGATCTGTCACTTCTCAATACCATCTTGTATCTGATCATTTGACCTTCGTTTTGAACATTTCGGACCTGACAAAAACTTTAGCTGATGTTAACAGTTCATTATCTCTTCTTTTTTAAATCATTGCCCATCTTAGCCAGTCAGCCATTATTATGCAAGGGACAGGCTAACCTTAAGTTTCCAGATAGTCAAAATTAAATAAACGCTGTACACTTAGAATAAAAGCAAGCAATATATTTTTCCCTTCCGAAATGAACTGTTTACCACTGAAGATATACGTAGGCATCGCTGGTTGTGCAGCAATTCCTCGCCGAGGAAAGCATTGCCGTCATCACCCAACCACCAGACTCTCCAGATCTCGCTCCGAGTGACTTCTGGCTGTTCCCTACTCTGAAAATGGGCCTCAAGGGGACGCGTTTCGCAACCATGGAGGACATCAAATCAAATGTGACGGCCGAACTCCGGAAGATTCCAAACGAAGTCTTCCGCCGGTGCTTCCAACAATGGCAAGGGTCGATGGAGCAAGTGTGTATGCGCAAGGGTCCAACTTTGAAGGTGATTAGGTAAGCGTTGCCATATGTCCTACCATTACAGAGCTATACCACAATTCCGGGATCTTTTCGACTGCCCCTCGTATTCTTCATTATTAGAAGAATCTTCTCTGTGCACAGGACAAAGATTACATTTCCATTAATTGTTAAAGAATTTTTTGTGGCATTTCAATGTCATATCCACCCGATACTGTCTTTTCTTTACAGCACCTGCCTCTTTGCGAACGGCCTTCTCTCCGTCTTATATTGAAACAGTTCGGAGTAAATTGAATTGCCTGGAAAAAAGGGTAAGAATATATGGAAATAAGATGTGTAATATGAGGAAATCTGTTGGTCAGTGACTACATAGCCCTTACTGGTACTGTGAGTGTGTAGGCGATTACATTTGATATCTTTGAACACGGAGAGATTTACGTGTTTTAAATCGCCTGTGCCAGAGTACATGTACCACCTGACTTCCATGCAGACATGCAAGATTTTTTAATCTACATTTCCTAGGTCTATGGATGGGGTAAGCCGCTCTAATTTTGCGGCCTTGTTCAATAGGCCTCATACCAGTGGGCTTTTCCTCTGGAGATTTATTACCTTTTTGATGCTGAAACATCTCTGAATTATATTTAATAATGCATTTCCCTCACCACAAATAAAACATGTTTCAAATTAGAAAGATCAGTTGATTGATACTGTTAAGGAAATAGGTGCTGAGTAAGATTTGAATTTGTCATAGTGGCGAGTGTGTTTGTCTTCTGAATTGGTGCGCCGTGTACTCTGGTAGAAGTTTACCGACATTTCACAGGTTTTTGCTGCCTCCATCATCAGGATGATAAGTAAACCAATGTGCGAGGAATTGTTTTGAGGTATGGGAACCAATCAGACAAGGCAGAACCTTGGCTGGACCAGTGGTCAGAGGGAGGAAGACTCCCCCCCCCCTTCTGGCCAGGGTGTGTTCTGCCCTTCTCCCATTGGCTCCGTTGCCCAATCCTCACTCTATTTCCCACTGGTCTGGCCGGCGTTCTACCTTGTGTCATTCCTATGTCTTAAACCAATTCCTCGTATGCAGCGTACTCATTACCTTGATGTTTGAGCCTGCAATCACCTGTAAAACATCTGTAAACGTGTAACAGATTTACACTGCACAGCAACCCAATTAACAGAGAATCAGTTATTTGATTTAAAAAGTAGCACTGAATATTCTGTAGATTTTACTGGCAATTATCTTAGTATCAGCGTTGACCGTGTGACATGTCACAGTCTCCGTTGCTTATGTTTCTGTGTTTTTCAGGTGGAACGGGTTGAATCTTTGGTCCCAGAATTACAGTCTCGCCATCAGGCTAATGTAGAACATGTTTTGCACCAGTTGAGCTCTAAAGTTAACTTCCTTTCCAAGCGTCTTGATGAATTGGTTCCCTCGGAATGGAAGGGGCAGCTGCAGTGAACATATGTCAACGAGTTCCGAGTTGTAAAATCATGGTTTTACGAGGAACACGATGAGAGAGACAAACAGATTTGATTGTACTTGTGTGTTATTTTAAATGAACTGAATCATTACATACATGTATGGGTCACTCTGTGTCGAAGTGTTAAAGACGTCATGAGCTTTTATTCTTTATGCATGTCCAGTTTAAGAGACCATGTTAATTATTCATTTAACAGCGTTAGATATGTACCAGCTCTGTGTTTATTCTTATGCTCTATCTTGACCGTACCTTCCATATTTTTTCTTAACAGGTTATAGGTTCACATGGCAGCGAGTATGACGACGGCTGACGTCTTGGTTGTTACAGCACGTAGTCTAGTAGAAGATAACCAGTATTTGAGAGGTGCTTGCTGCCTGTATCATCATCACTGTGATGATGGAGACAGTGATCCACTCTCCCCTTTTCAACAACAGTTGAAAGGGGGAGGAGGTGTTCAGTTCTTTATGTCATTGGCTCACTTGGCCTGTGCCCCTGAAAAGCGTGTACTCAAAACACAGCAAAGTACAATAAAAAACAAAATAATTTCGTTTCTTCAAACAAATTATAATACATTCACGTTACATGGGGTCATTGACACACTATTACAAACAAAGAAACAAAACGTATAAGAACAAAACAAAAAGCCCCACGACTCGGCTCGCTCTCGGCAACACTCCAATTCGTCTCCGCCTCGAGGGACCAAGAATAACCCAAAAACACGGTGGTTGCCCCATCCACCAACACAACAAAATCAATACCTATCTGGACAGGCAACTACAATACAAACCAAGGTCGCCACGAAGGGGGTTACCAGCCGGAGAGATGTTGCCGACCGGATCCGTAGCCACAGCCTGAGTGAGCGTCCGTGTGCTGGCGAGAAGAGGTCTCCCCAAATCAGCCCCCTCTCCTAAACCGGACTAACCTCCCCACACGCATGCACAACCCCTTTGGATGTTTCGCCGTCTCAACATCAGAGCCGAATGTAGTCGGCTCAACAGCACCTCTGAATCGTCGGTGAACTTGTACCAGACTACGTGCTGTAACAACCAAGACGACAGCCGTCGTCATATGAATAATTTGGCTTTTGTGTGGTTTCTTGCATATATGAACATGTCGTACAATTATGTTTTTGGCATTTTGTCTGTGCAGTTGTGAACAGCGCCGAGATCGGTACATTATTTAGTCATAATGTCTCGAGGAGCATGTTTATGTCTCGTCTTTTGGTTTTAGATCATAGATCCTAATCAGGAAATCCAGTGATATGAAAAAAATAACAAATTTATTAGTAAGTTGTGAGATTTGAGGTTTTCGCAGTGGTGAGTATGAAGATTTCTGTCTTCGGGGTCGTTGCGATGTGTAGTCTGGTCCATTCACAATTTTAAATTTTTCTACTTTACAAAATTTTCAAAACTTAAACATTTGAAAATGTTTGAACATTACTGAGTAAGAACTTTTAACCACTAACAGTTTTAAAACTTTAATTGTTTGGACATTTACACCAAAAAAAGATCGAAACTACAAATCAGTGAACTATGGAAACTTAAATTTTAAATATTTAATTTACAATTTTAATTCCTGTTCAATTGAAGATACGGGAAGTGCGAAATGCGTTAGTACTTTGTTAAATTATCGTCTGTGCGATCATAATACGGGCAACTCTCGGTTTACGAAAATTCGCTATAAGGAACGTCACAATTTATTCAAAATTTCTTAAAGTCGCCAATAGATGGCGTTCATTATCAAACGAAATGCCAAACGTATAGTCAACATAATTATAAGATTGAAATAAATAAACTTTTAAAAGATTTATTTATTACAATAATCAGTAAATTATTATATGATAATTATACTGAACTGTTCTTTGGTTAATAAAACTAATCTAACCAGTAAACAGGGTGGTTTACGTTCCACGCCTCCTAGAATGTTTTCTCGTGGGAAAGAAATCTGTGATTCACCCCACTATAATACAATAGGATCATCACTTGCTTTGCCAAGGTTGTTTTAGACGGTCAAGTGTAGTTCTGCGTTTGGTGACTTAAAAATAGATTTTTAAACATTTAAGTGATTATGGGTTCAAAGCGAAATAGTATTGATGGTGCTTATAGTGGTAACAATGAAAGACGCAGTGTAAGTTTAGAAACTAAGTCAGACATCATGAAAAGGACAGAAAGATGTCAGAAGCAGGTGGACATGGCTCGTCATTATGGTGTGAGCCGATCGAGTGTTGTAAATGCTCAGGAATGCAAGTTACACATAACGAACAACGTCTTGGAACGGAACTCGTTCGTAAACCGAGTTTTGTTAGTGACGGGCAGTTATGTTACGTTTGAATAGTTCAGTATGGGTGAGACAATTTAAGTGATTATGAGTTCAAAGCGAAATAGTATGGATGGTGCTTATAGTGGTAACAATGAAAGACGCAGTGTAAGTTTAGAAACTAAGTCAGACATCATGAAAAGGACAGAAAGATGTCAGAAGCAGGTGGACATGGCTCGTCATTATGGTGTGAGCCGATCGAGTGTTGTAAATGCTCAGGAATGCAAGTTACACATAACGAACAACGTCTTGGAACGGAACTCGTTCTTAAACCGAGTTTTGTTAGTGACGGGCAGTTATGTTACGTTTGAATAGTTCAGTATGGGTGAGACTAGTTTGCTTAGAATACGCCATTTGTCATCAGTTCAGGACATAATGGTGTGCAGTATGGTAAGTAATTTTTTTTATTCATTTACTGATATTAGGTTAAGTGTAATGTTTGAATTTTAATTAGGAATACAAATTAATTTTATATGTTTTAAATGTTAAGGTAATATATGTGAACTTTGAAATTATGAGTTTTCTCGAATTTTGAAAATGTGGAGATTTCGAAAAAAAATTTAGGTTTGATGAAGGTTATATTTGAAAATTAGGAATTTTGGGCCAAATATTCTGAAACTTTGAGAATTTTTAAAATCTTTGTGTCATTAGAATAACTGAAAGATTGAAAATTGTTAATTGTGGAAATTAGATATCTCTAATTTTGAGGAGTTTGAATTTGTGAACAAATTCAATTTTTTTTTTTTTTTACAAATTTCGAAGATTTGGATATTTGAGGAGTTTTAATCCAGATGAAATTTCACTTTATATTAGCATTAAAATTCTCAGAATATTTTGCCTTTAGAGTTTGAATTTCGGGCAATTTTGAAAAGTTTATATTTTTGAGGTATCTTTTAACTCAGGTTAGTTGTATCAGGTGAGGTTACATGAGTTTAGGAAATGTTGGGTTAAGTTATGTTTTGTCAGATGGTGATGAGTTATGTTTCGAATTAGTTGTCAGAATAGGACAGGTTATCTTTTAATTTTATTTTAACTTGGGTTACGTTAATTTAGGTGTGGCTGGATTCGGGTGCTATTTAAGTTTGCTTTACAATTGCTGGGTTAAATGTTGAAATTTTAAGATAAAAAAATCGAAAGAAATTTTAATTTGTTAAAAAGTTATAAGTGGTTTAAAATGTGTGAAATATATATTTCGCTCGACAGCGGTGATGTTCCACATTGCTACAAAACCACAAAATTCTGTTGTGTATTTTTCACTATGAACACCGAAATTTATTTTTTGTTCTTAAATTTATATTTAATTGGAAAAAGTGTACTGTTTTACCGATAGTTCATCGAAGTGTGAGAGTTTGCCCAATAGATGGCAGCAAAGTGTCGATTTGCACTGACGTACTGGATTATTATATATAACATCCGACAGATGGCTGTCGTAACGGTAATTACGTTTGACCTTGCCAACCATGAACTTGACCTTATTGGGAACGGATTGTTGTGTGTTAAAAAGAAGATATATTTTTACCTGTAGAAGTCTGAAAGTGTGGTCGATTCAGACCAGACTGAGCTTCTGTTACAAGATGAATTCATAACAGATTTTTTTAAAACGTATCATGAACTAATAATTAGGGTGTAAATCAGTGGGTAGATAGAATTCCGGAAGTCAGACGACTAATGTAACCAGATAGAATCCTTCTTGAGACACTGGCAGCCATTTTGTTGGTCAAACGCTGTTGGAGTGAAAGCGTCCGGAGCTGACATGAAATTAGATAAAGGTGAAACTGGTAAATGCTTTTTTAATTGAATTTACATGCTTCCATACTTGTTTGTTGCCATGGCAGTACACAATCTTAGATAATGGCCTTAACGGTGTCTCTGATGTATTACCCTGAGGAGTAATTAAGGTCAAAGGGCATTGCCTTATCAAGCATGGTTTCCATCTACTACAGGAAGTAGCTAGCTAAAGTAAAGTTAAGGTTCAGCCAGAGAGTAGTTAATTTAAGTCTACGTGTATGATAATTTTAGTATGAAAGAATTTAATTGGATTTATTAATGTCAGATGTCAAATTACCCTGACTCATGCCTTTGTATTTTGATTTACGAGGTGCGATCGGAAAGTTTAAAGACTGTGTCAATAGAGGGCGAACCGGATGTAGTACGAGCTTCTGCCGCTAGGGGGTGCGGCCTACATTCATAGTGAATCAGTGTGCCAGCCGGCATCATCGAATTAGCATTTGTTTCTTAGTTACGGGCGTTTTGGTAGTGCATTACACCGACCCTCCTGCGATTTCGGAATGGCGGATTTTCATGAACAAATCAAATTTTGCCAAAGACTCGCCAGAACGGCTACGGAAACCTATGAAATGCTAAAGCAAGCATTTGGGGAGTCCGCAATGGGTCGTGCACAAACTTTTGTGTGGCATTCACGTTTTAAAAATGGCCGAACCTCTGTCGATGATGACGAGCGTTCTGGACGACCATCTTCGAGCACAACGTCCGAAAATGTTACGAAGATCGACGTCGTACCATCAACGACTTGTGCGACATTGTTGGGATAGGCTATGGGACCTGTCAGCTGATTCTAAAGGAAGAACTCCACATGCGACGCCAAGGCTCCTGTCTGAGGACCAGAAGCAGAATCGACTTGACTTCTCGTTTGTCAGGAGCTCAAAGATCTTGCAAGAACCGACCCCAACTTCCTTTCTAAGCTCCGTGTGACTTCTTCCTCTTCCCAAAGATGAAAATTCAGCTAAAGGGAAGGAGATTTGAGACGATAGAAGAGATTCAGGCAGAATCGCAGATGGTGCTTGACAGGCTGACAAAGAAAGATTTCCAGGGATGCTTCCAGGCTTGGCAGCGGCGCTGGGATCGTTGTGTTCACTCCCAGGGGAACTACTTCGAGGG